CCCCTAAGCGCCGTGTCGTTGCAGTTAACGCCGACGCGCAGCTGCTGCTGGCCGAGTTGCTGAAGGTCTTTGTCCGAGGTGAGCGCTCAGGGCCCCAGCCGTAGAGCGATGGGCTCCCGCCTCCTCCCCGAGCACTTGGGCCAACCTTCGACTCCTCCTGTCCTGCCTCAGCTCTGCTGCCTCCTGCGCACTTGGAGTCCTGCCCAGCTGCCCCGACTCATGCGGGGCGCTGGGTCACCCCCTCCTCCCAGGACACCAGCCCGGCGCCCCGGACGAGACTAACAGGTGACAGCTCCCAGCCCCCTCTCCCTGACCTTCCCTTTCTTTCACTTGGGCTGTAGAAGCGGCGGCACGGGCAGCTCGGCAGGCTCAGGCAGAGGACCTGAAGAAGGTGGACACTGAGCATCTGGAGAAAGTGTTGCCACAGCTGGTATGTAACTGTGGGCCTGAACTGCATGGGTGCAGGGTGAGGATATGAGCTGAAACAGCCTAATCCTCACCTTTTGGGAGCTGTTTTGGGATCCCAGCCTCTGTCCTGACTTGCTTGCTGCTCTTTCCTTACAGCTTCTGGATTTCTAGAGGCCTCCTGAAGCACAGGTCACCTGTCAGCAGACAGTCCTGACCTGACTCATGTCTCTGCCTCAGAGACACTCCACGAGAAAGTCTCAACTTTTTCTCTCTCTGCCATTTTGCTTCTGTTTCCTCTCACCTTTACCAAGCACAACAGAACCCAAAGCAACGATGCTGTCGATAATATTTTTGAGAAGAGGCTGCCACAGGCTTATATTTTGTTTAGCTGAATGCATAGCAGGTTTCCATCTTGCTGCCTCACTCCTGTAACAGAGGCCTGTATTTCACAACATGGTAAGATGCTGTTGCTTTCTCAGATGTGTGAAATGTGAGAAAGAGGTGCTGCTTCACAGAGGTGCATGGGAAGAAGATTTAATGGCTGGAAATATCATCCAACCTTCAGGCTCTCAATGCCTCAAGCAGGCAGCTGTAACAGCAACTCCAGGTGCAGCTCCAAGCCTTTCCAATGAATAGGTCATTAACAGGAGCTTAGGCACAGGCTCTTGCCAAGAGCAGGTAACTGATCTTTATTTTATAAATAAACAGTGTCTGTCTCTCACTACCTTCCAGTATTTCTCCAGGGCTGTGACATCAAAGAATGCTTGAAACCTTTTAACCATTCAGTATTTCCCTCAGAGGCTGCTCCCCCCGCTATAAATTTGTTCTCACAAAGAGACATCAGTAAGTTAAAAACAAGTCTCCCTTCCTTATGTAGGCTCTTTGCTGCAATTCATCATCAAAAGTCAAGTTGCTTCAAAGACTTGCAGAGTCTTCCCCTCACCCACCCTCTTCCCTAAATCTTTGTAGGACGAAAGGAAAAAAGGACAAAATAACAAACAGCATGTGTGAGAATCCCACATCACGGGACAGCCTGGCCCCTCTGGCAGCGGGGGGGCCCACTGTGAAATAAGAAACCTTACACATGTGGGCAGGACTCACACAACCCAGCTGGCTTTGCTGGGAAATGCATGGCTGGCTGCACGGAAAAGTTTTCTTTCCCAGGCCTGCCCGCTGCTGCCTCTGACTTACTGCAGGATCAGCATTAGTGAGCAGTCTTTTTCTCAGCTACAGCTGTGACAGGCAGAGGCTCAGAGGGGCTCACTGTGCACTTTGAGCTAGGAGCTATTTGGGTCATCCCTCCCTCAGGACACCAAGCACTTGGAAACCTCACAAAACCTGTAGTCTTAATACACATTTTGGTGGCAGTACCCAGCTCTCAGCACTGCAGCTCACTGTCTCAGTGAGACAACTGTTCAGCTGTACAACACATGCAATGAAGGAACTGACCTAGTTCAGCCTTTAGCCCCACAATCACTGGTAAAAAAAAGGCAATAGCAAAAAAAAGAAAACCAAAAAAACAAGTGATACTACCTTTGACTGCCCTAAAACCCCAGGGATGAGTTCAGCTACTATAGCAGCAGTGGTACTGAAACAAAACCAGTTCATCAGGTATCTGCAGGTGCTGTTCTTTGGCAGGGCAGGAATCCTTGTAGCAAGTACCTTAGTGAAGAGCCCTCTGTTTTAAATGTGAGGGTGTCCTGTCCCCCTTAAAGAATTTACTCCTACTTCCTTGCCTTTTCCAGATTTCAGATCCTCATCTCTGCTTCCACTCTGACTGCTACTGAAACAGCAGTCCCAAAGTTGCTGCCCTAAAAATGCTCAAGTTCCCTTCCCTGACACACAGAGAACCGCTGATGTGGATGTTCACAGTAAAGCAGCAATTGAATAGCAGCAGCAGCTAAAATTAACTCTTTGTATCAGGAAAGGGAATAACACCTCTTGTCCAGCTGTTGAAGGTAGCAATTTTTCATTCTTGTGGTTGAACTGGATTTGATGCACAGCTGAATTACACAAGGGACAAGCATGGACAGAACTGCCTGAGGAAACACAGTCAGCAGTGTAAAACCCCTACACTTAAGCCATGAAACTGCCCCAGGAATACTGATCTTGCTGCTTGTATCCCTAAACCTGTTTTGCCATGTCATGTACTTGCAGGGGATACTTACAGTGCTAACCCTTTACAAAAACTGGCATAATTACAACAGCTAAGCAAATCAGTTAAGCAGATTGTACTGTTTGATGTCACCTGTGTTCTTCAAAAAACAAGGACTAGCACATCTGAAGGCACACTGCAACTTCCTCCCAACCACACTGCTTCTGCATATTCTAATCCTGGAAACCAAAAACACCAGCAGAAGTATTTCACCACCTGTCATTAGCAATGGCTCCTGGTTTCCCCACAGATATCCTGTATAAATTCAGCAAGGCAGCTCCAGCTACTGCCTACCTCTGATTTGTGTAACATGAATAAGCCTGATACAGCACCTGAACCAAGATACCAACAGTCCTATGCAGCGTAGGCTCACTTAATCCACTAAACAGTAATAAACTTTAAACATTATTTGACTGTTTTCTTGGTTTGCTGTGGTATGTCTTTTATAGCCTACCAAGTGGCAGAAGGGCTTGCTTTCCACAGGGAGGATTTAGGACAGGAGCTGCACACAGCGCTCTTGCGTTCCTGCTGCCAGTGGCCGCACACATTCCCTGTTTATGTTTGGGTGTCATATAAGACATCAATCAACCTTCCTGGTAAAGCATTCTGTGCTCCTTCTGCTTTGAATCTCCCTCTTATACCTTTCTTTCATGCCTCCCCCTCCCTCCAAGTTTCTTCAAAGCATTCTGTGAGCATTTGGAAGTAATTAGACCTGAAGGGAAATGTTGGCCAGGCAGGGAGACAATGACAAGTGCCAGGAACCCAGGGTGCCCTTTCTAGCCACTTTGAAGTTCATTCAGATGGTACAAAGTTCCGTTTTGCTTTGTTGAAAAAACTGGGGGGAAGGGAATGAGGCATGACAGGCCTATTGAAAAGAGAGTAGGTTCCTGTCAACTGACAGACACACCAAGTGCCAGGGCAAGAAGCTATCAAAGGGACCGACCAAAAGGGCCCCTGTGACCACTCTGCTTTATTACAACTACAAATTGTGCAGATGCACATGTAGTGTGGGGAGGAAATAAGGAAAATGGGAAACATGGTATTACTGTACCATGGAGCCCCAGCTCTCCACAGATCACTGATCCATGGAGAAGACTTCAAAAAAAGCCCAGCACCATGACTGTCATGGCACTACAGAGTTCATCTCCAGTGTAAGGGCAATTCTAACCAATATTCATCCCGCCCACAGCATCTGCAGGAGAAAAATATCTGGACTGGGCCTTTTCCCTGTACATTTACTGCAGTGCAGAGCACAGCTACCCTGCCCTGGGAATACTCAGGCCACCCATCAACTGTCATTTGAAGAGACTCTTCAACTGGATGGTTTTTCCCTTGCTGTAACTAATTACTGATGGCAATTATACACAGTGAAAATAAAACTAGAGCTCAGGGCAGAAACAAGCTCAACAGGCATTCCATGAACAGACACCTGTGTTGCTTGCTAACAAATTTCGGGCAACCGAACACAACCTGAGTGAAGCAGCCCAAGTGCTTCACAGGTAAGTTCACTGATCTGAACTGGTTTAAGTAACTTAAATGCTTCCTCTTCATTCTCCAGCCATCTATGTCCAGAATTATCAGCAGTACTAACCCTAATCACTAAGAGGCAGAGAGAAGTCTTGTTCTAGGCACCACTTAATTATAGGTAAAGCTGAACCAGATTGTATCTTGCTGCTAGACAATCAAGCAGCTGAACAGATAAACAGGCAGCTAGACTCAAGTGATCTCTGAAGGTGGAAGTGAGAGGATTTGAATTTAAAAATATGGATAGAAACAAGGTCCTTTGCAGAAAGTATATAGGTATCGTGCCCCCCTTAATTCTCTACTCTTATATTTGCATGCAAGAAACCTTAAATTTAACCTCTAACCTTGCCTCTCTAGTTACACAGACCACAAACAGGTACCACCAGGTGCAACTGGTATCTCAAATAGCCGCTCTCTTTTTATAACTAATGTTCATACAGATTAGATCTCTCCAGGGCCATCAACACATTTTGCACATTCTTATTAAGTTTGTAGAGAAAAGGGCACAGCTGACAGCTCAGTGATCCAGCAGCCCAGGATGCTTCATCTCTTTCCACCTACGAAATAAACATAGCACCATTAGAACACTTAACATGTAATTATCACTTACTCATTTCTCAGTAACTCCGATCTGGTGGTTGAGGATTCTGGTTACTGCTGTGCTCAGGCAGCATTGGAGACCCCAAGAGAGCACTTGGGGAGATGGAATGGTAAATACATCACTACTTTTGGAGCAGGGAACTTCTTATTATCCTAATAATCCTTCATGTTATTAACATGCAGTTTAGAGCATATTATTAACCTTCCATAACAGCTGTTAAATGGAAAACCTGCAGAGGTAGGTGAGATGATATTTTGTACTTTATCCAGATAATCCTGGAAAAGAAAACTATTTCAAGTGCAATGCTTCAAACATACTGGAAATGGGAAACAGTGAAGATCCTGTTTCCCACCACATCAGCATCTCAACACCAATCTAAAACAGACCAGCCACAGAAGGGAAAGACACTGACCCACTGTTTGCAGCCTTTGCACCTTCCCCTCTGCTTGCTGGAGCTGATAGCCTCGCCCTGTCTTCCAGAAACAAATACTAAAATTCTCATCCTTGAAGATAACATTTGGCACTATTAACCAGGTCACTCCATATAAGAATTGCTAGATTTGCTGCCCTTAAGGGAACAGACTGAATGTCTTTTCTTTTTTCCCCCTTTTCTTTTGCTTCCTCTCCCCCCCACTCCCCTTGTCTTTCCCCCTGCATCAAAAAGCAAATATTGCCAATAAAAAGTAATTCTTTTTATAATTACTTCACATTCTGTATAAATTCTCATCTAAAATACACACATAAGCCATTTGTTCTGGGACTAAAAACAAGGCCACAGTCTTCCAATCAGGATAAAACAAGAAAAAAAATCATAATGGACACTTGGTTGCAATCTGAATGATGGAAAACCCCTACTGCTGTGCAGTGAAGATTAAAAAAAGGATGACCAACAAAAAAATTCAAGAGAAGCAGAAGTACTAAAACAGACTGACTACAGCAGCAAAAGGAAAGTTATGCCAGAGATTTAACAGATTACATGGGCCCTTGGTATGCAGAATATCCTGCCTATTAATATTTGAACTACACTGGCAGAGATAAGAGCTTAGCACAACAAGCTCAGAACACAGTTAAACATGCTACAAGCATATGGATTAGGCATCAGACTTCCCAATGCTCAGAATCTGCATTCAGATACTTCTCCAGTGAAGGCTGAGGTTCAAGTCACCAACAAATTTGTGAATGACAAGTGGTGAACCAAATGTCCTGCAAGCACAAGCCAACATCTGTAACAATACTGTCAATATCCAACAGATATTTGGCAGAGAGGAAGCTGCCTTTTGGGGCAACTCAGAACGAGCAGAGCTCTCCTATGATTCACTGATACCTGGAAGCTTCAGCCATTTGGGTATTTTCCCAGGGGCCTTTCTAAACACTTGCGGAGCATCCTGAGTGCTGGCTGCTTCTGGCTGCTCAGTGGTCTTTTTTTCACTTCCCACTTCTGGTTCAGACAGGGATGGAGCCACTGATGCTAAAGTTGATGAAGCAGAAGGAACTAGTGATCTGGACAAACATCGGAGAAAGGAAACAAGCAAGTAGAATTAAGCTTCATTTTTCATAATAGCCCCCTGTACCACCACCACCTTTAAACTTTTAAAGTTAGATTGAAAAAGCTCCTCTTTTTCCATGATAGAAGCACTAGTATTTACTTAAGTCACTGAAAGGACTGAAGGACTCACAAAGCTATGAAGTCAAGTTTCTGGAGAAAAGGAAGTCCTAGTACCTTCAAAGCATATTTTTTTGGTAGTAAGATGGGGTCATTTCATGCTTCCCATTCCTGAAATATTAAGGCATTTGCAACTGTATTCAACCCCAACATACCTGGCTACTAATAAATCAGCTGCAGAAGGAGAAACTGCAGAGCTCAGCAGGTCTGATTTCAGGTAACAAGCTGTTTAGAAATGGAACCAAATAACTGATTTGGTAACACAGATACATCAATCACCACAGTATCACACAGCTCTCAGCTCAAGAAGTACCTCCTGTATACTACAGTAAACCTACATCACCTTCCCCTAGCAACCCAGAATGTAACTAAACCATGCCAGTTTCTTCACAACTCACAAGTCTATTTCATCATCCAAACCTCAAGACCCTGACATTTTCTTTCAGCGCTCACTGCATCCCTGGAACTTTTCTGTGAAGCCAGAGCATACTTTGGTCTCTGGGAGAAACAGGGATTCTAGGCATAAACCAGATGTCAAAGAACCAAGGATTCAGATCTGTTCTACCATGTCCAGCCAGTCTACTACCACAGGAGCTCTGCAAAAGCATTTCATAGACATTTGTGTAGTTAGCATTTTGAACAACAGGATTTTTTTTTTCCTATGGAGTCATTCTTCTGTCATTCTTGATCCCACGGCAGACAAAGCCTACTCCCCAGACTATAAAATCCCATCAAAGAGGTACAATGTCTACAGCTGTGCTCAAACTAACTGACCAAACCATCTCTGAAGACCTTTAGCCAGTCAGAATGCGGACATTCACCAGCATTCTCAAGGACCGCAGTTTATTTTGACAGAAGAACTCTGACAGTAAGGATGCAATACTGAGTCTACTATAAGAACTATACAGTCAGCTAAAGGAGAGAGGAAATGCACTCACCCCTGCACTCCTCTGATCCAAAATGAATGACAGCAGCTGGAAAAAGTTTAGCCTGCAGCAAAAGGGGAAAATGAGGTATCACTACTTACACAGTTCACTGTCAACATTGGAGGAAGGTTAGACAGCTACAAATTCATGGAACTCAAGGCAAGGTTACTAACCATCTGTAATTCATGAAAACTTAAACTTGTGCAGAGCACACGCCACTCAGAGTAAGACATGAAGGAAAATGTTATGGTCTGTTCCAGTGAACAGGTGATGAGACCTCTACAGCAAGTGCTCATTGCAGGAATGCCCCGCCACTCCTCCTCCTCCGTCCCCATATCTCAGGCCACTGTACTGCACCCAGATTCTCCACTGCTGAGCAGATAGCACCAATATGATGAAGAATCATCTAAGACCTGAGTGGCTGTGACACCAAGAGAAGAAAAATCCAGCTATGCCTGCCCAAAACCTATTCTAAATAATTTTATTACATTTACACCCTGTCTATAGTTGAAGTTTATTTAGTTTCACCACCTTTTCAGGATTAAGTATTTCCTTTTATAAATCCAACCTGAATTTCTAGTTCCTACTTATCAGAATACCTGCCACATTCAAACATTTTTTTCTATCCAGTAGGTTTGGTTGCTTTGGTTTTTTTTTCCTTTTATTTCAATGTTCAATGGAAGTTCCTGTAATTTGTGTCTATTTCATCTTGTCCTTTTACAGGGCACTGCTAAGACCATATCCCTTGCTGTTTCCCATCTCTTTTACTACACACATTGACAAGGCCCCCACAGAGCTTCTTTTTTCCAGGCTGAACAACCTTGACACTCTCCCTACCTCTTCCCATATGTCAGATGCAGGACCCTTCATTATCTTTTGGTCCTTTTCTGGGCACCAGAGAAACTGTGAAACTGGACTCACACACCCCCTGTTCAACTGAGGAATCACAAAGGCACCTGTGGGTATAAAGGAGGGACCTACCTAGGGAGGTTGCTCTGCTGCCTTCAGTGACAACCCAGTGTCACACCACATCATCAAAAAACTCAGTGATACATTACAAAACATTACACCATCACATCCCATAGTGCATCCAAGTGTTCCCAAATGAAATATAGAGCAAGAGAGTCAGAGTTATTAAATTTCATGCTAAAAACAGACATCAATGCAAGCTCAGACTTAGATTTTTAAGAGGGTATGATATGAAGGAGATTAATATGACATGGCATAACCAGCTGTACCAGAAAGGATTCTGAAAAAATAACCATCATATTTATTACCTGCATTATATGCCAGTAAAATACCACATAAAGAATAACTAGCTGAAACAACTCTGTTAAGTTTTTAGGAAGCCTTGTAGTAAGAGAGGTAAAGAAACTAAATCATCACGGTGTAAAAGAAGCAAGTACCACTACAGCCAGAAACTGTACAGCAAATGTTAATTTATGGTCTACATTTTCCCTGGCAAAACAGTAACACTAAACTTGTCACAGTGATCCAATAAATAAATAAATAACCAGATAAAAGCAAGTTGCTGCCCCACTTGGTATCACTCATACATACTTGGAAACTGTGTAGGGCAGACTGACTGCTCTGGAGTTATCTTGAGCCTCTGTTGCCACCACCAGCCCAAGCTGGATACTGGAATGATGGTCCTTGGACCCAATCCAGCACAGCAATTACCAGAACTCAACAGAACCCTGATCTTCACCCAGGAGGCTAATATGTCTAATAATAGTCTAATATGGAGACTAAGAAAATTGTATTAATGCAAATTAATACATTAATTGCACTAAGGCAAAATGAAATAGCTTCACCTCCCTTCCTGCTTACAAGCTTCAGATAAGCATGTGGTATTAGGCATTTTTTTGACATTAATACAGAGGCCATAGGATACTGTGTCATGCAGTACAGTCAACATCACACTAGGCTGAAACAGGAGATATTTACCACTCTACTGCAAGACTCAGCTCCTGCTAAAGCATCCAGGGGGATTCACATCCTTGAACTGACATTTTAGCAAAATAATTATTTATTAGGTCTTTTAACATTTCATTCCTCAATCAAAAGGGCCTAAGATTGCCTGGTTGTGCTCCAGTCACAAAGACAGCTCTCCATAAACTTTTTTAATTACAAAGTACCAGACACGGTTTAGAAACCCCAGAAAAAACTCTCACAGGAGCTTTGATGTTTCTACAGCAGTCGTCTATTTAGGAAATGGGTGCCTTAAAAAGGGCCCCCCCAACACACATACACTCAAGCCCTTTTACACACAACATCCTTTTCATGCCAGCTGCAAGTTGGAAAATGAGGGTTTTGTAGTGTGTTAGTGTTGGAATTTTTTAATAACCTTCCCTCTCTTTTTTTTGCCTCCCGACCAATTATCTTGGTAAATAATTAACATTCTGAAGGAGATAAGTAAGCACAGAAACTCAGAACTCAAAGCCCTTTAGTTCAAAGCCCTGCCCTTTTCTCTTCGTTTCCCTGCTGCTGCCACTGAAACTTCCTTGTCAATCAAGCTCTGGGCACACACATCAAAGCCTCATGTGGGAATGGCCCCAAGGGGTCAGAGAAAATTCATGGCAAGACCTGTGTGAGGCACAAAGAGAGAAAGAGAGTGAGAAACAGATCAAGAGCTAGACAGACTCACTCAACCAACAAACACATAGACAGACTGTGCCCCAATATAAACCTCTACCCTATTTACTCACAGGTCGTCAAATAACCATAGTTCAGTTTCAAGATCCACGTCCACAACCATTTCCCATTGCTGGCAAAACATCAGTCCAAATGCTTCAGTTCAGAATCTTAATTGAAAGAAACTTAAAGGAGCTAGACAGCAGCCCCCAAGTACACAGAACGCAACATCCTTCCCATGGCTCCTTTCCCTGCATCCCTATCCTTTCCTAGGGGTCAGCCAACATGGAGTTCCTTCTTTCCAAAGTTATCTCTCTTCAATTCAAACAAACTATTGGCTCGTGCACAGAACTCTTGCTCTAGCTTCCTTTGCACGGAATTGTCAGGCACCATCCCAATCCCAGCACTCCCTGAGGGTGCAGCGCAGAAGGCAGCGAGCTACACCTCACCTGGGAATTCTCTAGCCAGTCATTGGCAGGACCTAATGCTGTCCCAGAGTTTTTTATAATCTGAAAGTATTTAAATCAGCAGCAATTTCACATTAAAAAATAAAAGCAGTCCAGTGGAATGATCCCACCTGTCCAAGGACTGTCTCGGCATAAAGATGAGAAGGTTTTAGTAGATTCTGTCCATGAAAACATATGAGCCCAAAGTCAAAGCCTTTAGCATTCTCTAACGCGCCTAAGAATGTAATGATCAAACACTGGGCAGACTATCACCTCAAAAAACTGTAACCTCAAGTCAGCTATTCTAATGTTTGCAGTTGTTCTAATACATCTGCCAAGGTTCCTAGAAGAACAACTCTGCAGTTCTTCACTGCACAGAGTTCTTGCAAGAACATCTGTGAATCAGAACAGATTTTGAGAACTCTTACAATCACATTGAGCTGCCAGATTGACCAAAAGAATCAAAGCATGTTCAAAACAAGTAACTCAAAAGCTCCACTCACATATATGCAGAGAATTACTAAAATAGGACTGAGCCAACAGCCAGTTGCTACAGCATTTCTCTTCCTTGCTGCTTTGATTTCCAGCCAAAAAAACTGCCATTCTGACTGGGGAAATAGATGCTATTAATCTATTGAACCATAATGTTCAAATCGCACTGTGCAAAGCATATTTACAAAATACAGTTAGATTTACTGCACCAGAAATCCAACGGAAAACGGTGTTCCCCTTGTGCTATTATATAGATGCGATGTAAATAAGAATACTTTGAGTTTGTGGGCTGCTTTCATTTTTGTGGGTTTCCCTTTGTTTAAGTTTTTTGGGGCTTTTCTTTTTTTATCCAGATGAAAAGCTGAGACCTAAAGAGACAACTTACTCAAGGTCACACAGGATGGCAGCAGCAGCAATGAGAACTACACATTCAAGTCTCCAGAGCCCCATCCAAGATCATAATCACAGGACAGCTTTCTTCTGAAGGGATTAGAAAGTCACTGAGGCGAGGAGAAAAGGAAGTCAATGTCCCGCCTATTATCCTCCTCATTTAATTAAGAAGTATCATTCTAAATAACCAGCTCCTCAGATTTTGAAAATACCTAACACAGCTTCATCCATTTGCTTAGTTACAGTTGCAGAAGTTTAAATTAACACTTTCTATTTCAGAGATCTGAAGACCAGCCTGTTACTCATAAAGCCATATTTAGTCTGAAACTATGCAGCTGAGTAACTCCAGCTTTACTCAGAGAGATACTGAACAGTTACTCAGACACTGCGGTGGTAAGTGTGGTTTGTGACAGCATGGCATCTTGGCTGTGGAGTGGCACACTGGGGCTGCTGCATCTCACATTCCATGATAAAAATACCCACTTTAGAACAACAGTCCCTTATGAATCCAGCTGTGATACAGCAGAGAGGCATTTCTGCTTTGTTTTACTGCGTGTTTTAGTAACTTGCTCTCTAGAACATGGAAAATATTTCAGGCAGAACCCTCCCCAAATAACACCTCAATACTTCCTCTTTCTCAGACATACACATGCAAAAAAATCCTAGAACAGAGCATAGCAGATGATGTACATTATTCCCAGGAAGCTGTTCTCTTCCCTGACAGAGCAATGTTGTCAGACCAGGCAGAGGCTGCTGGAACTTGCAGCTGCCAGAAGGAGCAGCATTCTTTCCGTTACACAATCTGAGAAGATCAGAGTGCCACAGGTCTGCAGTTAGACTGATGTTAGGAAGATGAATAAGAAAATAAGCACTTCAAAGGAACACGCACATGGAAGGAGAAACCCAAGCTACCAACATGAAATACTGCACAGTACACACACCCCAAGCACATAAACTACCTCTTGGAAAATTCAACTGGAACACCGGTGGATCAAAATTCCTTCAGCAGGATTGATAGCAATGCTATCATTGCTGAAACAGAAATAAACACCACAGTCATGGTGAAAGAGGCAGATCAAACAGCTCACGTTTATAACCTGACAACAAAGCTGCCCAATCTGAACTTCAGCTGCCAGAGGAGATGGATATTCTGTGGCCAACATGGAGGAGGTCTGATCCAGCTAGGGCAGATAATGCAAAGATAAGACTTTAAAACACTGTTTTGAGAAGGCTCCTTATGAAGGAATCCAAGTATAAAGAGCATTCATTGAGACTTTGATAGCTGAGATCAGAAGGATCTGGCCTTCAAAACTGATAGTAGCAGTGAAGATTTTGGGCAGGATTTCAATTCCTAGTTCACTTGTGCAAGCAGCCTCTCACTGGGACAGAAGAGCCCAGCTGTCCTCAAAGCTAGCATCATGAGGCAAGCATGGACAGTCCCTGTGAGCATACGTAACAGACCTCATCACAAAGAGAAAGTGAGATTGCCTCCAAACGCAGTCAGATGACAAAATCCTGGATGAAGAAGACTAAGGCTTTCAGGTGAATGGCATCCTCTGTGACGGATGAATTTCAGTATTAATTGCAATTCTCTTTGCTAGTGAGTGCAATAACTATAAGGCTTGCCACAGGAAATGCCTCTGATGGACTGACTCTGATGAAGCAATTTTTTCTGAAACTGCATTCAGACTCTTGCCAAAAGAGAAGGCTTCGTACTGCCTGGGTTGTAGTCAGGTTGATTGAACAAGCATGCCAGATACACTGCCCAAACTGGCATTAACAAATGGGATATGGAAAGAGAACCAAAGTCAAAAAAAGGAACAAACAGCTCATCTGGATTTCTGCCTTGTGGTATACGACAGTAAACACTCAGTGCACTCTAAGATCTGACTAGAAGACCTAAATATTTACGTGGAAGCCTGTGGATTCCTTTAGCTCCTCTGTAAACAGAGGATGGCCTCCTGCCCTCTCTGCTGCCTCTACTTTTCCAGTGACTGGTACTCCTACTTTCTGCTAAATCTTTCCTAGTATTAACACAGCAATCAATGATTTTTTTTCCAGTAACCCACCCCAGAAACGCAACTACAAAACCGCCTGTTTCTGGGAGGAGAAAGAAGCTAAGAAGCAACTCTGAAAAGCTCAGACTGCCTAGAAAAAACACAAGCCACTGAAGCTATAAAGAACCCTAAGCCAAGTGCTACAACAGGGAAGCCTGCGGTTGATCAGCTCTGGAGAGCAGAACATTATAAAACACTTCAAGGGACATGAGGAGAAGGCCGCCAGCAAAAACAGCAACAACAAAAAATCAAAGCAATGCCTTGAAGTCTTTATGGGTTCCAAAAACTCCACATTGCTGCCAATCTGTGTGTTCACTATACTGTAAATACACACAGATTTTGGGAGAATTCACTTCAGACAGTTCTTTCAGTCCAAATATCTTGGCAAACAAGTCAACAACATTTGTCTTTTTTCCTGATTTTGCTAGCAGCATAAAGGTTCTTCCTTCATTGTAAGTGATCAAATGTAATGAATGTGGTGCCAAACTTGTCAGCTTGAATGGAGGGAGAAGGTGGAAAGAGCAGAAGTATTGGTAATATGGTACTCCACCATCTGCAGTCTGTCTTCAGCACGAATTTCAGTAATTCATAAATATGTGAATGCTCAAATGTGCTCACATTACTGCCTCAGACACCATCCATTTTTCCTTACCAACAACACCAACATAGTCTGTAGAGTAGATGATAGCCTACTGCTAACTTAGGACCTAAGTCATTTAATAGGTCATTTAAGGACCTATTTCATTTAATAACATGAACATTAAATGTTGAAAAAAAAATCCTGAATGGCTAGATACACTATGGTAGTACCTGCTTTGGAAAAATCAAGCGTCAGGTTATGTGCAGGCATCTCTGCAAGGGGAGCACATCAGGTGCCAAGCATCCCAAGAGGCCACAGCTAACATGACTTGGGGCAAAAGTGGTGAATTTTGGAAGTTGCATGATACAACCTGAACCCTTAAAGAGATGTATTACTGCTAAAGACAAACTTCCTCCTTTCACACATCCTCCAAACCCAAAAAAGATACATCAAAAACCTAGAGCAATTAGTTGTACTGTTACTTTACCCAAGCTCTCTTTTTCCTACGATGTCTGGAGAAACTTCATATTCCACAGCACTTCATTCACATTCACATGCACCAAACACTGTTATTCCAGAACAAGCTTTCTCACTACAGGGGTGCTGCAGCCCTGACACCACACTATTTTACAAAGTACCTTGAGCATCTCTCTCCTATCTTTACAGAACAGCTTTGTCTTTTCAGATCCCTCCTTCCAGATTAGGGACTAGGAGGGGAGCTCTGCCTGAAGTACAAGATGTTTCCCTTCCACAGAGCACAAGATGAATGAAAAGGGAAATGTCTCCACAAACCCCCCTGCGCAGAGCCTAGCCCCACCCAGGGCACAGTCAGACACTGCAGCATGCTCTACAGCACTCAGTCTCGCAGCCAACAGGAACCCTTGGCCCATACAAACCTCCTGACTGAAGATTTTTAGAAGGCCACAAGCTCATGTGAGAAGCAGTGAGCAGGTCGCATCCCCAGCTCTTTCATTCCTGCTCTGGGCCAGGGTTATTTTTACTGAGAGGCCCTAGGCTCAGGCAGTGCAGCCTCCTTGAGAACAGATGCCTCTAAACATGGCATCCAACAATGACACAGTGGGCATGGACACAACAGCTACAGGGATTTCCACACCTGATTCTGTCCAGAGAAGAAAGGCCCTCCAGCCCCTTCCTTCCAGGCACCCAGACCCCAGCAGAACAGGAAACTTATCTGAGCAGGAAAATTATGGCACGGAGCCTGCCCTAACATGGTGAAAGTTAAAGAAGAATAAGGATTTACATTGGTTAATGGCAGCAAAGCTTCTCCCAGAATCAGCCAGCCCAAACTGGAACAAGGCACCATCCTCACAGGTCAGAGTTCTGTGTTCTTTGACAGCAGTTTGGATAACCAGAACAGCATGACAAGTTCTTATCAGGAATTGTTTTTTCATGTTTGATGCTTCATCCAAGTAAAATGTTTATAAACACACAGAATCATTCCTGCCATAACAGACCATGACCTGAAAGGGCTGAAGGGCCCCAAGCAAGGCACATAGGCTACACAGTCACTGGCATTAAACACAGCTCGACCAAAGACAGAAGAACCACAGGCAGAGCAGTAGTTCATTCAATCCAGCCAGTACCCTAATAGTGAACAAAAACCAGATGAACAGAAAATAGTATCCTTGCTTATAAGTGACAGCAATGATTTGCAGTTTAGAATCTTCCTGAGAAGGTTTCTATATATTAAGACACACTTACTAAGTATCTTCCTCAAACTTGTCCAAACTTCTCTCAAATCAGTATATGCTTTTAGTATATAGCACCCTGTGATAAGGAATTCTATGCCTCAGTTTTCTGACACACGAATAACTACCTTCTTTGATCTATTCTAGCTCCTGCTTGCCTCACTTGACACCACTCACTCATACTCAAGAACAAGAACTCAATGCATTCAGCTTCTCCTTGGCATGTTATTCCCTTTCCACTCATTTCTTTTACAGACTGGCAAGTCCCAACCTACTCAGTCTTTCTTTGGACAGGAGACTCTGAGAGCAGATCTCTGAGGAACCTCATTCCCCTTCTCTGCACCTTCATCAGTTCCTTTTGAAGATCTGTGAGACCAGATCTGGATGTTATTCAGACAAACTCTGGTCCATACACGGCAAAGTTCTCTAGTTTGTTCTGAATACTTTGCTTTGGAAAGAGGTTGTTTTTGATTTGACTGCTATTCAGTAACGAGCTGATGATTTCATCATCTTAAGACTTTGCTCCAAAGCCATAATGATCAACACAGGAGTTCACTGAGCTGTGTTTGAAGCTCAAATTACTTTCCCGGCACATCATCACAGTTACCTATGCTGAGCCAGCTGGGTAAGCCAAAAATGCAAAGTCATCCAACTGTTAACTAATGTGACAATAATCTCTTCGTAATGTCATGTTACAATCCCTAAAAATATTCTAAGTATGAGATTTTACTTGCTTTCCACATTTTGCAAGTAATTGTACTGATTCTGTATAATTAAGACTGTATTTAAAAACTCCATTTTATTTAATTACACCCAAATTCTCAACATAACCACTAGTTTAATTTGACTATGGTGTGATTACATGTGGCATGAATAAAACATATCTTAAATCAAGTTTGGATTTGACACCCTTTAACTTAGTTGGACATTATTCCTCTTTCACAATGACAGAGAGGATATGAGAAATAAGAAAAAATCCTTTCCCTAAAACGGTCCATTTGCAAAGAACTTTCCACTTTTGAGCATAGCATCTTGAACAGTCCCAGTTCTGTACCAAAGTCAAGGCTTTGCACCTTTGCCATGTGCCACAACAAGCACTGCAGTCCACGGAAGGCCACTGCAGACTGGAGATGTTTGACACTAAAACTGATCAGGTTCTTCACAAAGTTGTGATTTCTAATGAAATCCCCAAGACTGAGCTGTAAGGCACCTCAAGTTTTTAAAGAGCACTAATTTAACATGTTTTCATGTTTCAGGGACCTGCCCCGAGAATGAATTTCATAGTAAATGTCACAACTAGGAAACCAGGAAAATGCCACACGAGTAACAAGCACCAGTAGTGGTGCCAGGTACAGAACAAAGGCTTTAACACAGCAAATTAAACAAAATTCCTGCCATAAGGCTTCTTATTTCAAAGAGAAATACAAGATGTGCACTAAGGAAGAGAAAATAAAAGAACAGCACTGCAGGGCAGGGGAGGTAGGCAAGGGGTAAACGGAGGTAAGCAGAAGATTTAGAACATTTTAGAAAACAGACCAAAGTTAACAAAGGAGACCAGAACCAGCACCAGGGGATCAACAGGAGGCAGATACATATCTGAACATTCAAACTTATAAAAGCATCTTCATGTGTATTTCTTCCACATGGCCTGGTCGGGAAGCTGTGAGACTTGGAAAACTCCATTGCAAACAACTTCCGAGGCATGCCAATCACTACCTAATTCACCATGCTGTCTGGAAAGTCACTTTCTCTATCCCCCTCCCCACCCCAGCTCTTCTGCTCCCTCAGGGGAATCAAAGAATTCTCTTGTTTGCATGAGCCTTTAGTCTGAACGATCTCTGGTGCATCAGTCTGGAATGGTCCATGCAGATCTGAATGACAGAACATTTTAAAGAGTGTGACTTTGGGGTAAAGTCACTGGCAAAATCACTCAACCACTCCCAGCACATGTGTGATCTACACAGCCAATAGTCTCTGGCCAGGGACTTCAAGATCACCCTATCTGACACTTGCAAAAAACCTCCAGGAATCTGAATTTGAAAACCTGTATTTCAGTACTTTCAGAGAAAAATTACACAAAGAGAATGAATATTCCTCAGTGTACATTGACTCTCACATTGTGATTTCAAAAAGGTCAGATTTCTGTCTAATATGGCCTCTAGTTCCCACTGCAGAAATTGAAAACAATTCCCTGTCCACACTGAGTCTCATCTTTTACTATCCTAGTCTAGCTACAGACAGAGCCCACCGAGCTCAGCTCTCTTTAACATTCCAGGTTAAATACAGCTCCAGCTCTGGAGGGCACGGAGTGTGTCCTGAACAATGCAAATCCCCACCCCTGCCCCCAGTGTGACTCTGCCTATTGCTGCACAAGGTGGACCTCTTCTGGTGAACAGCTTGTGCTCCAAAACACCTGGTTCCACTAGCCTTAGCTGAGCAGAAGCCTACAGGGATCACAGCATTATACAGCTTCTTTTAAAAGTAACTAAAGCCTGAGGCAGGGTTAAGGGGAGCACAGACTAGAGACAATTAGAGCCCACGAGGGAGTCCTTACCTCAAACAGCGTCAGGCTTTCATCGTTCAAGACGATTCTGGGAGGTGCAACAACTGAAGTTAAAAAACAAGTTATAAAACAGGACCACCTAGCAACCAGAATATCAGACAAAGGTACGGGAGGCATCCCTGCCCTCTGAAGGGGAGATACGTTCCTAGCAGCTCACAGATGCTGCTTCTTAGGCAGAAGCATAACATGACTAAGGGAGCAGGTTATACCTTCTCTGCACTGTGAAGTTATGTTTTAGGGAAGGCATTCCTTCCCAGGTCATTTATCAGGAATCAACATCCCACAGCTAGAAACAGCCTTTGTAAAATAAGGCCAGATATTACCAACAGCACTCACACAAGTAAAATGGCAGCTCTGCATCGGCAAGGTGGCTTCTTACAAAGTTTCTCAAAATGCCAACTGTGGAAAAAGGAGAGAAAGGTTTGCTAAATTACATTTGGTTCTTCAAATGTTGGGCAAGAAGGCTAACTTGTAACAGCAGAAATGCCCTCTAGCAGGTATGGAGATTGCCTTGTCCTCCAATGTACACAGTTGCTATCACAAATTTCTTGTAGAAAAAACAAACAAAACAAATTACTTTGGCATGTTGGTGCCCTGGAAAAATCTAAGGATGCCTGCAAAATTATCAAAAAAAGTTTGTGCAGGTAACCCTGGCTGACAGCTGAAAATAAGAGGATCTCCAGTAATAACGGTAAGAGTTACTTGGTGCATGGTCTGATCACCTTTTGTGAACTGACAGAGCCATAAAGGTACATCCTCTCTTAGAACAGTTGTTAAAGTTGGGGTTTTTTCCCTCCTTCCTGCTTTTTGGGGTTTGATTTGGATTGGGGAAGGGGGTGTTTTTTCCCCAAAAATGTTTTATGCATTAACACAGAGGAAGTCTCCAAGTGCATCCAGTAACATATCATTTCAACACAAACAAGGGGATAGCAAGTGGGACAGCTTCCTCTGCACATAAGGACAAGTATTTTGCCATCTCCACCAAGTAGCCCTTAGCTAACTTAACTAGCCCCAAGTCTCTTCTTAGCCCATTCAGGGGCCTTACAACAACAGTGTAACCACCTACTGCTGCTTTTTCAGAGCAGCTTTACTTTGCCAGGCAACAGAAAGACCTGCTCAGATACACCCTCTCCTGTCATGAGTGAGAGTCATGAGTTACAGCTGCACAGGCTGAGGGGGTGATGGGTCTTACCAGTTTCAGTGGGATGGAAGAACCCTTGTAGAACATGGCGGTCTGGAAAACGAACTCTCAACACCACCTAAAGCGGAGACAAAGCTGATTAGGACAGTGGTTTATCACTGCCCTGTAACAGCTTGTTACACCTGTCCTTGGCTTAGAGTCTGCGAGTTGTTTGTGGTTTTGTTTTTTCTTTTAATGGGAAGATCTGTGGTACTTACAGGGATGGAAGAGCAACCTGGCTAACAGTGCTGTGCACCTTCTCAGGGAACAAGGGCTGTCTGGCTATCAAATGGGGCACAAGAGCTCATCTGTCAAAGCACTACAATGCAAAGTGCAGCAGCACTTACTGAGAAAGCAGGTGCTCCCTGTGCTAAATGATGCACAAACAACAAGGACAGTCCCTCATGGGGAGGTGCAGACAGTTTATTGGCATCCTAATGTGTCCACAGCAGTAAGAATCCTCCTGACACACCTCTGACCTTTGTACTTCTAGCTTGGTCGGCAAGCGCTTAACTTTAGAAGGGCACAAGGGTCACAGTTACAGAGTAAAATAAATCTAACTTGTAACATTGAATCATTGAACTTTCAATGAGATTTTAAAATGTCTACAGAGAGGTGGGTGGGAAGGCTCAGTCATACAGACTGATGAGCGCACAACAGGAGGGTCTTGAGACATCTGGAACGGAACAGAACAAAAGCAACTCCACTGCCTGCCACTTAACCAGTGACATATTACCATATCACAGTACAGCTGTTTTCACAAGGCACAGCTGTTATGCAAGTCCCACAGACAATTAATAGGGATGGGAATTTGAAAAATATTCCTATAAGTAGCTTAAGGGCATGTTGATCACAACTAAATCCCAAGGTACTCAATCCCCAAGTCTGGACTAGCCAGAGGGACTGAAAAATGAGCAAACACTACCTTTGGGTAACGCTCCAACTTCTCCTTCAGCTGGGACTCCTTCAAAGACTTTGTCATCAATGGAGCTTCTTCCAGACGTTTTCTACAGACATGGGAAGAAGGCAAGTTGTCTGTAATTTTACAATGTATTTTTAATTTATTAAGCTAGCAAAAGATCTAAGCAGGGCTGATGAGAACTGCTCAACTGTTCGATGCATTTCTCACAGCATTTTCCCCACCTCCTGAAACTACTGAGCATCAGCAACAATACCATATAAAATTACTTCTAGTGTACAAGTTTAAAAGTAAGTTTGTGACAGCAGATGCAAGAAAAGATCCTAAGAGGACAGGAAAGTCTGCTGAGACAACTAAAGAAGAGATGGACTTATTAATCCAATAAAGCTGGTTGCACATGATGACACAGCAGCAGAAGAGTTACTGAACTTGAAAAACAACACCGGCACAAAAAATCAGTATTAAGTAGCAACAGGGACAAAAAAATGAAGTTTCAGATTCTTCAAGAACTGGCATTGTAGGCAGCTATTAAAAGGAATAGTGGGGACAAAATAAAAGTCTTCTTGTATTCAAGATGAAACAATAAATATAAGAAAATAATTACATATTTGCCCATAAGTAAAGATATTAGCTTAGACCAAACAGATCCCATGCTCAGCTTTAGCACTTTTCATTGTATTTGAGTAACTGATGTGTAACTTGCCTTTATTTTTATCCCTGGCTGTAAGGGGAAAGCATCACCAAATTTGGAAACTGGGTCTTTTTTGAGGGGCCTGTATTTCAGTAATCCCCCAACCAAATGACTCTACATTTGTACCACTAAATACTCCAGACCCACAAGCAGCAGAACAATTTTCAGGCCATATTCTATGTTCTCAGAGGCCTGTAGGAAAAAAAAAATCAACTCTAAGTAAAAAGTTCAACTTGGATTTAGCTACAGCATAAAGGAAACTGTTTCACAGTCTTGGAGAGTTATTGTAATGTTTAAAGGAAGGTTTTTACCCACTTGAAACTAAATACATTCATGAAATTAATTTCTTTAAGTAACATACAGACAGCAAAATCCTGCTGTGACAGGAAGGCCAGTTTATCTTCATCTGAGTTTTTACTGAACTGAAGTTCGATGAAGTAAAATCATGGATATTTGAAAACAAGCTACCTGAACAGTGCAATACATTGTTAGTCAGCTTCCTATAATTTCTGTATGTGCGTGTGTGTGCCTGTTCCAAACATTCTCAGGTCCTGACTTGTGGCTAAGTTGGTCTTTCTGGTGAGGTCTAACAAAAGGTTAATTCTGCTTCTTAGAATATAAGGTGTTTCTAACTGGCCAAAAATGCAACAAGCTCTGTTGAACAACGTCGCTCTGCTCAACAACAGGACACAGCAAATCTCGCTCCCAGCAGCCAGGGAACTTGCCTCTCATTCTGCAGCTGTGCCAAACGTTTCCGTACATCGTCCACTGTGACTTCAAAAAATTCATCAGGAAGCTCTTCTGGGCCATCAGAAAATTGTTCCAGTAGGTCTAGGTGACATATAAGGGGCTCACGTTCTACAAGCTAGAGGAAAAAAATGTGCTTCAATTAGTCTTAAATGCGTTGCTTTGCTTATCTTATAAGGTTCCTGAAAAAGAGTAAAAGAACAGTATTTGCAAACTGTCTTTTGACCTGTTCAGCTCTCTGAACTAAACCTCTACAGGGTTTCATTGCACACCTTTCAAAATTTTACCCTGATTTCTGGTGTGCAGAAAGATCCCTTGAACAGTGAAACCCTTTCTTTCTGCAGTTACAAAGTAAGTACTCCACCCTGAGATCAGCCTTTGCTGCAACCAGAGCACACAGATGCAGGAGAGCAGCTCTCAGCAGGCATCAGCTGCAATAGAGGTATTTGATGCATTTCCTGCCAGCTTTTCCTACAAACCAGAGCTGAGAGTAGCCACCCCAAGCTGCACACAAACACTTCTCTCACCTGCCCAGCAGGGCACAGAGAGCCTGGCTGCCTGCTCCCCCAGCCTCCAGAGCCCAGAGCTGGGTGTCACGATGGTAAATCTTCCAGTGCAACTGGGCCTAGCCTAGAACTGTGGTTGCAGCTATGAAAAAAACAAACCAAAACACGCCTATACCAAACCCCACAATCCCCTAAGAAACCCAAACCAGAGACCCAGCCACTGAGATAAAGAGCATCTGTCATCTCTGCAGGCAGTAGGACTTTAATAGATCCCTCCCCAGGAAAGGTTATGTGCTGGCTGCTCTCTCTTTTGACCAAAGCAGCAGCTGCGCCTGCATGAGAATACAAACCATGACCAGAGACAAGCATATGAGAAGTAGTTATACCTCCTGAACATAAATTGGCTCTCAAACAAATCAAACTTTGTACATTCCCAAACTGTTGGAAGGAACAAAGCTTGCAAACAGTGAACAGCATACTGAAGGCTACAGGAGATGCAGGGAGGACACAGCTCGTGGCTGAAGAGGCTCACAGGAACAAACATTTTGGTAGTTAATCCAGAATTTCTTCCTAGTCAGCTGCCAGCTTCACAATACCACACGCTCTGTGAATGAACCCTCATCTCCCCTCTCATACACTCTTTCCAATCCTAATTAGCACCCGGATGTCCTCCCTCCATCCACTCACCCCTCCCCCTGGCACTGGCCACTTGGGAACAGGAGTCTTCTCAATTGTCTAAAGCACAACACAAATTACAAGGCAATGTTCACTCTACTTGTGGGCACCAAAGGGTAATTTGAGAAATTAAAAGATCGAGGTCGTGTGGGTGGGACCTTTGGCTACTTTTAGAAAGTTGAGCAGGGTCAACCCTAAGGAGCAGGCAAAGGAGCCCGACTGCAGCGTTCCCCGGGCCGGGATGGGGGTGCCAGTGCTTCAGGAAGGACCCCAAGTGCCCAGGACCACCTGCTGGGAAGAAGCAGGCTGCACTGTGATCCCAACCACTGCCCACTGATGCTCCAGTGAGGGCACATCTATGTCAGAGCCCAGAGGAGATATTAATCAGGCCTCCCCAAGAAGCCGGTGTACTTTAATCTCCTCAAACAGACTTGAGTTTCATTTCATTCTAAACACGTAGCGAAAACGGACATCTTCTGAAAAAGCCCAAACCCAAAAGACTGAGGAGGCATATCCTACGGCATGCTGTGAAGGGTGCTAGGATACAATGGAGAGAACTCCAAAGTCTGCATTAGCAAATCCTAAAGTTACCATTTAGTATTGGCTCTAACAAGGACTTTAGTTAATCCCAACAGCAGTGGGATTCCACAGGGAAAGGCCAGTCCCCATACAAATTATGCTGACAGCTAATGGCATCTGCCAAGGCATTGGCAATCACAAGACGGCACAAGGCAGACATATACTCCAGTCCTAAGTGTTCACTCCCCTTCCTTGCTGTGGGCTCCAACAATCCTAAAGCGCAGACAGATCATCCAAAAATTAACTTCCCACAGTGATTACAAAAGAGACTCCAGGAATACTAACCCAGTTCCCAGCCCACCGCACATGCAGTGCTTTCTGCAACTGTGACAAACAATAACCATCTCCTGTAACAACAAATGGCCACCACAAGGATGTTCTACTTTCCATCATGTAAACTTGGAGGAAAGCAAGCTGTGCATTTTGCTGTCTTACTTCTTCCAGGAGCCAAAGATGCTATGCCAAAGTTTGGCACCTTCCTTTTACAAAGTCTATTCTACCAAAGCTGAAATGTCAGGCACTTTTCATCATGAGGCTGAAGTCGTATGTTCACACCAACACCTACATAAGTGCAGCCCATGTGACAAAACCAGGTGTCAGGAAGAATGCAGTTCACTCTGTGGTCACCACCCTGGTCCCAGGGAAGCAGGTAAGCTAAGAAGAACTCTTACGGTTTAAGTGAAATTATGGTCATTGTACTTTCCACAGCAGCAAGCTCTCCCCAGAGACCCACTTCCTTCCCACCACCTCTGTGAGCTCTAATCTCATGGTGAATCTGGTTTAAAGTTACCTTCTAATAATTAACATTCTGACATCAAAGTCAGCTTGCAGCTGTCTGTAAACCATCTTTAGCCTAAGAAACGAAGGGATGCCAGCCCAGATTTTATCCAGCCTCTCTTCAGCTTCAAAAACCACACACAGGCAAAGCATTAATGGGAAGATTCTTTTAAAAAATGGACCTTTGATGTTTAAAAATAAATTGTTTTGTTTTGGGTTTTTTTCCTCAGGACTGAAAAAGGACAAAAAGCAGATGCCATGTGGCTAGCCCTACTTGGCTGTTGCCGCTGGGAGGAGAGTGGAAGATGGCAGGAGTGGAGGAGGGAACAAAATGTAATCAATCAGCAGCAAAAGTACCAGAGATCAAAGGGCTTGAAAGCAGCCGTCAAAATCACATGCTGTTTAACACAAGGACACAACTCCCCCAACAGAATCTGCAGCTGCTTCCAAAGCTGCTCTCAGAGTGGAAGGGCAGCTGGCTCCAGAAACGGTTTGAACTGGACTGTGATTCTGAGAAAGACATCAGTTCATGTGAGTCCTTCAGTCACCACCACTCAGCCCATGTCCAAAAGCACAGCTACACATCAGGCTGTGAAATCAGTGAAATGACGGACTTCTGCCTCTCCCACCAGTGCACAGAGAGGTGTGGGCAATAAGACTGGTGAAGGATACCACCACAAATCCTTGCAGTTCTTCTCCCTTCCCAGACATAACGGAAATGGAAATGACTCTCCAAGTCATAGACATGAGTGTCTGAAAACTGAAGCAAGCAACACATGAGACAAATCATCCAGCCTACTGTTTAATTCTCCATGTTAAGGGTCTGCTCCAAAAGGTTAGATAACACCGATTAGACAGACCCAAACATGTTTCCAATATACTGAAATAATCCCCACTGCAGGTTGGCATAACCTCTTTCTGCTACTTGTGTAGTTCGTAACTGCTCCAGAGTCCTTCCAGGGTCTGGCTTCTGTTTGTAAACAATTCAGAACTCATCAAAAATAGGCTGCAACAACAAAGAAGTCAACTAAGGTAGAGTCTCTACATACATGTGAAAGCATCCACAGTCTTGTTAAATTCCTCCTGGACTAAGCTCCCTTTGAAGCTCCCAGGCATCCTTTCTTTCTACTTACAGCTTTCTATTGCTCAGTCCTGGCTGGATCAGACCACAGGAGATTCAAACCTCCAACTCTAGGAGATACCAAAGAGTCGGAAACAACAAAGGGGATCTCTGAACATGAAAGCCAGCCCCAGTGATGAGCCAAAGGAGCAAGAAAAGAGCCACTCACTGAGAATCCAGAATGGGAAACTCTCAGTGCATAATAATAATGAGTAAATGATTAATTGAATAGCTCCTGTACTTCATGTTACGCTACTAGCCAGACATACTCAATCTTCCTGAAGGCGTTCAATTCCATACAGCTGCCCTTCAGAAAACACACTTCAATGTCATTCCCAGGTCACTCTGGGATGGCATCACAGTACTTTTCATCCATCAGTTCTGGTATCTCAATATGGGCTCAAGCACTTCTAATTTTAACAAACACAGTTTTATTTCAGAGACACCAACAATGGTGAGATGTGCAATCAGTCTTTCTGAGGAATAGTTAGAGAGAGGTAGATTATTTAAGAAGCAAGATATTTTAGATTAGGACAAAAAAACACTTCTATAAGCACACAGAAATACAAAAGGAAAAGGATGGAAGATTTCTGCTTCATCTGCAATACTAAGAAAATTAAGTCACAGGGCTCAGGTAAAAAAGTGGGCATTTGTTCATGAAATCTGAGGCAATGAGGTGTAGGATCTTCTGGATTGTGATTTAATGCAGCTGTGTTGCCTCTATTTAAACTATTCTTCAAGGATACCTAGAGATTCAAAGTTTTGCCTACCTCTGGACAGCAAATTCTTAAACTCAAATCCTTCCTACTTCCTTTCTGAACTCCAGCACAACTGTATATCATCAAGGCACCTAATCCTGTGACATAGGGAAAAAGTCCTAAATCTGGAAACATCTTTTTCCTCATGGGAGTGCAGCCTCAGGCAAGGCAGGATAAATAAAAAGCCCTTGTTTCCCAAACTGCAAACACATTTTCCCTTACCTGTTCTTGCTCCTTTTGCAGTTCTTGGCTGTTCTTAGACTTCTTTGGCTTAGAAGGGCCTCCAGGGCTGGAAAAAGTTGCTGGCAACTTTGAAGATGGTACAGCTACAGGAGAGTCCCCCAGATGCTCTCCATCTCCAAAAAAGGGGACAAATGGGGTAGGTTCAGGCTCTGGAGAATGCCATAGCTCCTCCAAGCTAGCATGAGAATCTTTAATCAAGTCTTGCTTGTGTGTGTTGCTGTTTAAAGACATAGCCACATCCCTGTGCTCCAAGTCCTTTGGAAATGTGTTTGCTTGAGGTAGAGGCACATCTGCTGCTCCTTCCATAGAGCCTCGCCTCACTGTTGGCTCATTACAAGGCACTGTGGCACCCACAACTTCTGCCCCACCAGATGAACTGCATTTCTTCATGACAACTCTTAAAGAAGACACCAAAAGGAATAAAAATAAAATCATAATCCTAAAAGTACTGCCCTCCCTATTCTCAATGTGTCCACGACACAAAGACAACAGCTGCCTCAAGTACACCCTAATTTAACAACTTTCTTCTCACAGATGCTTACAGAGAACAAACTCCAGTTGCTGTGAAGTGTGGGGTAGAGGGTCAGGGGGTCATGCCAAACAACAGAACGGGGACCCACTCCTCTGGAAGAAAATGGCCTTCCAGAGGACAGCAGCAGTCAGCTGTAAAACATAGCTTCTAATCACTCCTGCTTTCTGTATATACTGCAAAGAGCTGGCCAGGAGATCACAGAAAGGTTGCCCTGGCCCGAATTCACTCTGCAAAAGCCAGCAGGGCCTGCAGGGGCTGGGAGTTAAGTGCCTGAGACCCAGAGCAGGGAAGAATGAAGTGGTAGCTGATTGCCCTCTCAGAGAGACTTTCAACTTTGAATTGTCTGTTCCACTCAAAGGAGAAAGAAAAAAGGGAAAAAAAAGGGAAGGGGAAAAAAAAATAAGAAAAAACAAACCAGCTCTTTTAATCTGCACATGACTGGTCAGTGGCAGCATCTGCTGCTGTGCAAAGCACATCTGGGCAGCACTTTGAGATAAACAGGCAAATGCAATAATTTCTGAGCGCTGCAATGTTTTAGTTTGGCATCTATTTTTGTGACTTTTTTTTCCTTTGTCTTTCTTTTGATACTTGAAACAAAATAAATTCACCATCAGAGTGGAAAGGGATAATAAAGAGGCCAAACTTTGCTTCTCCCAACCTGACGATGGCATTGCCTCCAATCAGGCCAAGCGATTTCAGTGTTGTCTTCTCCAGGGCATCTTTTCCTGCTATCTGCGACAAAACCGAGGAGAGTAATTATAGCCTCTGATTCCCCAGGAAACCATGCAAAGCTCTTTATAGAAAGAAGCCTGTATCCAAAGAAACACCATGCAACACAAGAAACAGGTAAAAACCCACTCCTGAAGCTGGAAATCAGACCCAAATCCACCTGTATCAATCTGTACTGTTTTACCAAATTCACAGCTTATTAAATCATCCCAATGGAAGATGACCTACATACATTTTCATCCCATACATACATCCAAGTGGAATCCAACTACAGCAAAGCTACTTTTATGTCAAAAGCTAAATGACAGGCAACATCTCAGAGCTGCAAGACAGACAATTTGCTTACGTACACCTCCTACCCGTCTGCAGTGACCTATTCAGAATAAAGACAATCTGTCCACAGAGGTCAGTGGGAAGTAAAGGGGACAGCAGGGCGAGCAAATTCCGTAATATCCACATACAAAATATTTAACAAAACATTAATAGCAAAAGATCAAAACAGAGAAAAGCAAATATTTACTAAAATGAAAACACTGTTTTGACTCTAGCTTTAAAAGAAGTTGGAAAGAAAAACACAAACAGGTCATTGAGCTCATTTTATGGGCTCAGAGGTCTCAGCGGCACCAGGTTACGTTCCAAGAGAGCTTTTTTCCATACAGACATGTCATGCTTTGAAAAGACCAACGTTTTTCTACTTCCCCTCTCAAGAAAGTTCAAAAGAAACACTTTCCAGGTTGGAAAGCAGAGCTAAGTTTTCTTATGTTTTAGGGACATGAGACAGTTGTGAGGCTTTACTGCCTTACCTCATCTCGCATGTAAATACAAACCGGAGACAATTCACCGTGCTGTTCCATCAGCTCCCTGCAAAAAAGAGCAAAACACTGCAGCATGTGCAGAACAGCCTACCCCCTCCAAAACCAGCACAGAGGAGCAGTACAAAGTGAAATCAGCTGCCAACACTGTCCTCCATGTTTCTCCAGCAATAACCACTACACAACTTACAGGATCACTATTAGACATTAGGTAAACAATTTGCTTCAATGCATTCACTTTTTCTTAAACACAGCTTAAAAGCTTAAAAACAAAGAAATAATTAAAGTAAATTCTGAAATTAGCTGATCTTACTAGATAAATTTAAGCTCATTACTGCTTGTGTGCCTCAGTACCCAATCTGAAACACTACTTAGTTACATTTGCTCTTTTTAATCCAAGTTAAAAACTTCAGCACAGTTTAGACTGAACTTTCACTGGGAAGAGGTCCATTTCTTTTCACATATGCTCAGCAACCAATGAAATTAAATACCACTCTAGAGCAGATCAACTAAGGACAAGAAACTTGACTGCCTTAATATAATTTTTAAAAAAGAAAAGGGAAAGTAAACAAACAAAAACTAAGAGCATAAACTTTCAGATTCTGGAAACCATGAAAAAAGTAAAGCCAAATGAAAGGTTGCCACTGTAGACAAAATGAAAATCACCCCATATTTAAGAATTTCACTGATGTAGGACACATATGAGCAAGGATGCAAACTCCAGACAGCCCATCTGCAGAGTAAGACAGAAACAAAGGACCCTTAGCATCGAGATGGGGAAAAGCCAGTAAGATGCTACCCTTTCCATTTTCCTCTAGATAAGCAATTCTGTGGCATTCCAGTAAAAGAGAAGCTTTATTATATGCTCACTTGATCAAATACAAAAGACAGACAGGGAAAGGACAATCACAGCCTATCACAGCAAGTCTCGGTTCTCTTCCAGCCAAGACCTGTGATTTCAAAAAGGGAAAATAAAAAAGATGGACACTTCCAGCAAGAAAACCTCAGATGTCTACAGGAAAGTAAAAAGCCTTAAAGAATTAGCCATTATGCTTCATTATGCTGAAGCACTGGAATCAATGAGAGCATCAGACCCAACAAGAAGCTCTGTCACATTGTTGTCCACTTTCAGCAAAGCAAAACTCAAACTGGTATCACAAGAAAATGTGGTAAAACACAAGACTGAGGAGAACACTTTGCTTCTCACTCCAAGCATGCCAACCTAAGAGGTGACCAGGAAAATACTGTCCACCCTAAGACAGTGCTGGTTTGGAAAGATATACCTGGCTGAATTCTCAAAAGCGTTTTTTCAGAAGTTTCAGATTCAGACATTTCAGCCTACCTCAGCCTGGGAAACTACAAAAGGTGAGAATGTTGCCTTGGATTTTTCCCATCTACACAATGAGAACTGACAAGATTTATCCTTCTCCATAGACCCCGGTAGCTCTTCTTAGCACATTCTGTCTCAAACTCCTTGTGCTTGCACTTGCACCAGGATATTCTTCGGTAAGGGGCTGTACGTACCATCTGCACTGCAACAGTTGGCTTATCATGAAACACAGAACAGCTGTAACTCCTCCTCACGGTAAACTCCCTTGATCTCACTGCTCTCTACAGTCAGTCTAGGGGGGAGTGGGTGGGGGGAATGGCTTTCCACTCAGTCCACCAGGAAACCATCACCCATCACCCACGACTTGAAGAGCAACCACCTCTCCGCAAAGCAGATATGGAAATCCACCTGTCAGCCCAGGAACACGACACATCCTTGCTTACCTCCTGAGAACTCCAGAGCCACTTCCCAAGGTTAGCTTGCCATTTTACGCCTGACTACATGAATGTTTGGTACTGAACACATAAGGAGCTTTGCAAATGACTGACTTATGGGGTTATGCGAACACTTCCACTTAGCTATCTCTTCAGCTACCAGGTTCTAGTCCCTGCAGTGAATTTCACAGGAAAGACCAAAACCTGCAGGATCCTAGTGGCCTGAAAAAATTCCAGTAGTTTTCAGTGAAAATTAGAAGTTTTGGAAAGATATTTCTACTTCACATTACCCTGCATTGTTTGCAATTCCACAGTAGCAGTAATAACCACAAAACATTGATCAACTTGGCATTCAAGTGTCACAAAATTTAAGCAGAAATTCAGACTGCTTCTATCTAATACATCATTTACACCTATACTTGTACATTCAGGATACATTCCCTGTGCCTAAATTTGTGAGCATTGTAACTGGAGCATGGAACAGGGTATAACTCTTAAGAACACGATGTCAGTGATCAATGACTTATGCTGCATTTTATCTTTTCTGGGAAAGAAGTTTAATGAACAGAGTCACAACACTTAAAACCTTGTGCCTTCAGCATCACGTAATTTAAACACTTCTATTTTGAGATGCAGTATTACCAGAAACAGAGTTATGTCAAGGAGCTATGTAGGAAAAGGATCCCTTAAGTAACAGCCAAAATCCACTCACTCAGTCAAGTGTCTGGTTCTGAAGTGACCGTACATTACGCTGTCTGTGCTGTGCCCACACTGACTGCTGCTGCTGGAAAAGCTGGGAACTCCACAAGAAGACATACAACATATCCAGCCAGCAGGGAAAGACCACCTTAGGACATGGGCAACATTTTCTATTACAGTAACAAGGAAATAACCTTTTGCACTCTAGCAACCTGCTTGCCCAGCAGAAGACCAGAGTCTGCATAACCAAACAGGTCTTACTGCTCCCAATGCAGCGGTTCCAATTAATGTTCAATTGAGTATCATCATGTTCACTGCTACTTAATAACGACAGCTTTGTCAGTATTATCTCAGTCTTTCTATTACATTCAGAATGCTTCCAGGAGGAGCAGATTAGTAGAATATAGATACAATCAATGTATTACACCATATTGTAACACATACCTATTTAGACCAGCATGAAGTGACAAAAGAAACTGAATTGAGAGGGAGTCAACCGGCCTATGAAGAGAAGTAGCCACTGAATTCCATGAGAATTCATCAAGGACATTTAAACTTAGACTCAAAACTCAGTTACAGTGACATGTAAGTGAAACCAGAAGCCACTCAGGATCAAGAGCCACTAGAAAATTATGATACTCAATCTTTGAGTAATTCTCAAGAGCCAGAGAACATCAATGGTTTCCAGCTGAAGAATGTGAGGGACCAAATCTGTTAAGCACAAACTAGAACTGAGATGTCTGGTTTAGCTGTAGCAGTCTATATGCCATCTTGATCCAATGGTTAAATCTTACACACAATGGTATGGGACAAGGCAGGTCACAATGAAACCCCAGAGCACAGCAAATCCAAACGGAACAAGCTTTAAAACCAATCCTGGGGGTCAGGTCTATTTTAGGAAAGTCAGCAGCTGAGAACCACTTCCAGACCAGTTGCAACATATTCCAAGGAGTTTATAGTACCAAGACTGTAAGACCACTACTTCAGAACACTTCTCCCAGCCACCACAACAAATCCCATTGTGCAGAAAGCAACAGACACACCAGAGCATCCAAAATACTATATTCAAGTTTCAGTTCAGTTAACTCTTTGACTCAAGGTGAACAACAAAACCAACACTAGAACGGGTTTGCTCCATTTGTGATTCTGCAATTAGTTATTCTCTTTCAGGAACAGAAAGCACTATATGATGCTCCACAGGAATCAAGAGATTAAGTTGCTCCTATGAAAGAACATTGTCTTGTGATACAAGACCCAGGCTCCAGCCTCCCTCGCTCCTCTGGCAGCAGTACCTGAGGAAATTCCCAAGGCCAATGCCTGACGATGAAAGGCAGAAAAAAAGAAAAACCTTGTCTCAGTTGGAGAATTGGAACAAAAGATCACCAGAGGGTGCCTTTAGCACACCATAGCAGTTTACTGCACTCAGATTTCTCCAGACACTCCAGGAGATATACTCATCCCCACCTAACTTTCAATAGGTTTTGCTTCCAGTTAAGATTAGCAGTATCCCTTGAGGAATCCTCAATAACGGTGCACAAATGACAAAGAACTGATGAGACACAGAGAAACAGTACAGAATCACAGAGAAGGCAGACAGAATAGTCCAGAGGATAAAAGCTTGAACCCCAAGCTGCTGTCTGTCAGGAAAGGTGGGTGACAACCATTTAGGAGAAAAAAATCTTAGGCACATGGAACATGGAACATGTCCTCACTAAAGACCAATAGGGGAGGAAGCCCGTTTGACTTACAGAACTTAGTTTTATTCACTTTTCCAAAAACTTCTTTCCACTTCTATCCAAGCAACTCTTTGAAGAGTCTTTTAAAAATGTGTGGAAAATAACTGAACCAAATTAATGACCCCACAGCAGCAGTGAAGAATCATAATGACTATCAAAGATGTCTCTGGGTGTCCAAAGTGCAACTACTCTAAGGACAACAGCCCATAAAGCTGCTGAAGCTGCAAGGCAGGCAAGAGTGGGAGATAGAAACACAGGGTTCTTGCTCATAGGGCAGACAACACTGTGCCCTCAACCAGCCTCTGCAGCACAGACTCCACGCAAAGATCCCTAGAGACTTACTCTTGTCTAACTCTTGGAAGCAGCAAGCTCCTCCTCCAGCTGCTGTTAATCCATTACATGAACCCACTGAGGCAAGCACACACATCAAACATACTGTCCTCCCTTTGATGTGCTGCTCTTCAGAAGGGAAACGGCAAGCAGATTAGATTCCTTCATGTAGTGATCTGACAGGGCCTGTAAACATCTTGTGCAAGGACTGCCGCACGCTGAGAGGAGGAGCAGCCCTACAATAGTTTCCAGACCTTCTTCAGACCCAATTAGCCAAGATGGATGCTGGAAACCCAGGGGAAATTCCAGTGGATTTAGAATACTTCCCCTCACGCACTTAAAGCGGCTGAGCATTCCAGGAAAACATCTCCAGTTGGAAAGTCCAAGGAAGAATTCAGCAAACATCAACAATTAGCTGACTACTTAGTCAACTGAATCAAAACACATTGAACAGCTACTCAGCCCATTAAATCCATACAGATGGCTGTAGACCCAGCTTGTTCTGTGATTAAATCACACACAGCACCTTTGCTGCTTGTTGAACTTAATCAAGATTGCAAAGTCCATCCAAACATCTGAACTCAGCTTCCAGAGGGTAGGAAAGGGCAGCTGTGTTCTTCAGTTATGAATGCTTAGCACACTGCAGCAGTTGGAAGAAGAGCAACATGTGTATTAACTAGTAGCATTACAATGACCTGTAAGCAATAAAACCACATCAAAAGAGCAAAATTATATGAAAAGCCCAAAATTTAAACCAAAGAAGCAATCAACTAATATGTGAGAAAGCCACACAAAGGTTATGTGCCAGTAATTACCAGTCTAGCAGTCTCCAAACTGCAACAAGAACTCCTGTCCTCACAGGGGGCACAGAGGGTGTAGGAAGGGACAAGAAGGGACTTAAAACACTCAAGAAAATTATACCTGTATTTTTTGTCCTACCTCTTTCCTCAATTAAAAGAAAAATAATTCTTTTATCTCTAGCATTTACATGAATACTGTTCCTTTTCTTATGAATAAATGTCACATCGTAGACCTAGTCCATGATTAAAAACAGAATGGCTATAAAAGCTTCAAGGTTTCTTCTTCCAAACCACGAAAAATAGAAAAGAAGTGCCCTTCTTCAAGAAAAGTTTATTAGCTTGACATTTCAAAACAATACAGCCTTTTAAAATCAAAGATGAGAGGTAGCACTCAATGTAGACTGGACTAAAAGAATAAGATTTCTAACCCATGTACATATTCAATAAATGCAGAAACAGAAATTCTTCCGTTTAAACAGGGTCTAATGTGTCTTTTGAAGATTCCACATTAACCTGCTGAGAGTTCCAGATTTCCTTGAAGAGTTAGCACAACAGCAAGCCTCAAAAGCAACAGCAACCCATAAGGAAGAATCCCCTGCACTACAGGGAACTGCAGCACAGAAACACTGGGGATCAAGAATATCCAGGCTTGACACACACATCTCTAGCAGTGTACAACTTCAAACACGTTTGTGTAAAAGGAAGGTAGTGCAACATATCCCAGTATCTTCACAGCTTTAGCAGTTTGTTACAGTTTACACCCTAAATCAGGAGTGGTACTCCTGGATTAAAAAACAATAATAAAACTGTGGATTGTCAAATCTGAAAGAACATGGAAAATGTAAATGGCTCTGTTATAAAGGAGAAATCACAATCAAATAAATGCAAATTCTACAAATCTGAAGGACTTAGCTGTGTCACCGTAACAAGTAATTAGTGGCATGAAGAAATCCATCCAAACAAGTATTTTCTCACTGCACTGCTCACCTGATCTTTGCAAAATGGTTGAGAAGTTCCCACAAGGTCTGTTGGCAGAGGAAGGTGTCTTGCAAACGAGAGCCATCGTCTAGTTGTAATGCTATCCGAACCTGTAAGAACACCACAATGAATTAATCTGAAAACTGAATGAAAAGTCATTTTTCTTCATAAATTTTTAAAATATTTCAGTGCTTCTTGTTCATCCATGCAGGCATTCTGGCCTGAATTCCTGTCTGTTGGGATGAATGGTTCCTGAGCATGGGGGAGGCTATCCTAAAATACTAATCAGCTTTCATGGGCCCTTGTCCCCTGCTGTATCTTGAACTGGAACATATTCAGAGAAAAGCCAATGCAAAAATCCCAAATAATGTGTGATTGTGAGCAATGGAGGTGTTCTGTTTTATACCAGATGAAATTTCACAGGGTCTTCACAGCCACATAAAACAAATTCTAACAACCCAGACACAACTGATGCAGCTGCACCATCGAAAACACCAACACAGAGCTCTGTCCACTTCAGCATCATTTTGCAGAACAACTTCCCTGGGACAAAACAGCTTACTTGCATATCCACACACAGCAACGATGAACACAATTCCCATCTATCCCTGCGTTACTGAAAACCTAAACAACTGTTACTAGTCCAAAGAAATGACGTTTGTAACTTGCAACTCACTAATGTTCCCTAACCACCACTTTTGACATACAATTTAAGAGTGAAGTAGCAAAAAAATCTCAACAGTAATTCTGATCATTTAATTATCGAGTTCTTGAACACCTGCAGAAAAAAGCAGGGGCCAGCTAGCTGCCGATTTTAACAGGTCTTTTCCAGCCTGGAGTGTGAACATCCACATACATTATCAGGCACCACACAGACTTTAGAGAATTGCTTCCCTAGCTCTCCCTCACCAAAAAAAAAAAAATTTAAAAAAAATTTTAAAAAAATATCCAAGACAGTTCTAAAGTGCACATATTCTAGGGTTGGTCCTGAAGAACTTCAAACTCCTGATTGTCCCAAGAGAAGAGTTTAGCAGCTAACCAAGAGATAGAGAATGGCAGAGCTTACTGTAGAGATAAAGGTAGAGATAACTTCAGCTGTTATCTCTACCTTTTAGAGAACAGTCAGCCTTTTTCAGAACATCTAACTCTTAGGTTTTCCCTGCTAGCCCACCTGTCTAAAGAAAAATCATACAAAGTCCAGTAGCCACTAGATAGAACCTGGTTTCTCCAGTCAACTTTAGTTTTCAGAAGTCCACAAAAACTGGCCTTCTTCCAAAGCCCAAGGACATTAGCCCAAGATAGCCAAACCCACTTTCTTTCATTCTTTGTTTTCATGTGTCCCTACTAACACTATCAGTGCAGCCTGTCACTGAGAGCAAGGTGGGTGTGCAAGCATGAGGGGCTACAGAGAGATGGGAAAGAGACATCACATGTTCTAGCAATCCACTGTGATTTCCATGGAGGAATATGTTTGTCATCTGCCTTGGCTCCCACCAGTCCTCACAGGGCTACAAATGTTGATCTGCTGGAGACAGGAATTTTTCACAGAAAGGAAACAGTGGCATCATTAATAATGAGCCGACAATACAATGTCGTTTCATCCCACCACTAACACAGCCTCCTGGTTTCTCCTACACGGGAGACAAGCCTTAGATTATTCTCAGCTACGGCAGAGCGATGACAGCTGACATCACCATTCTGTAAGAATCCAGCCCAGAAATTCAGACTACCAGTTGCATCAGTTTTTGGGCAACAGTTCAAAGCTAAACATGTCACGAAAGTCCTATTCAATCCATTAGAAAAGTATCTTTGAAAATCCCAGGGGCTACATAAAATAATAGAGACCAGTGCCAATTATCGTCTAAGTTTACAAACATTTAAACAAGAGGCTGACAACTTTAACACCAGAGCTGTATTGATGGTGCTCCTGCGTCACCTGCCATCACACAGGGAATTTGTTCCATTTTTCACTAAAGAACTGTCTTACAGGAAACAATGCTTTCCACATGTAAACGCAAACCCAAAAGCTTTCTATTTTTAAAATATCAGATTTGCTGAACAAACTCATCATTTATCAAAACCTGTATTCTGTCTCTAGGGTAACTGCTGTCACTAGAGGAAAGCACACCTACTTCCACACACATAATCTTAATAGAACACACAGTAACAGAAGACACAGAATCAAAATCATCCCAACGTTACTGCAGCCAGCCAGCATGACTGAGTTTGCATCTCAACTGCCACTACAATCCAGTCACAGGCACCTGGCTGTTATAATATTCCCTATTTTTTTAACACATACTCCCTGTGGCAGCAAATTCTTTTTAATCAGTTGTTCTATACGAAGTCTTTTCTTACAATGTGAAATTCTCCCAAGTAAAATCTGCTCAAATTTGCGGGACAGGGACTCTGTTTAGATTCCACTCTTTACGTGCACATTTGCTGCATCTTCTCACCTTCATGACACAGCTACCAGCACGACCAGGGAAGCCTCACTTCTGTAGGACGTTCTGCTGAACTGCAACTAAACAGTAACAACTTACACTTCTATTAGCTCTTCTCTTTTGTGATCTAAAGTAACGAGTCCACACTACAACCCCTCTCCTAACAGTGAATAGTCCTTCTTGCCCTTTTTCACAATATAACTTCAGGGGAAAAAAAAAATGAAATCATTGTTTTCCTTCAGTACGTCCCAAACTGGATGCAAATGTCAGACAGTCATTACTGCACCATTTCAAGAGGAACACTTTTCTCTGGAAGACATACTCCATTCCACTGCAACATTTCACTGAAAATTTTAAGCAGATGCTACTGGTTTGTGGTATTTTTTTAAGCAAAGACATCATTCGAAGCACAAATATCTTTCTACCCCAAAATCAGAAAAAAAGGTATTAGTGCCAAAACAAAGAACACGGAGGTTTTACGGAGAAAAATATGAACATCAGGGACCCCCAAAACTATGTTACACAGTGAACTAAAGCAGAGACCCCAAAGCCTTCTCACACCAAAAAGTTTACTTTTCAACGTATCAGTTTATCTCTATAACAGCTGGAGTATCTGCCTTTAACAAACACCACTAACACTTCTTGGCTGACAGACACTAAGAGAACAGCACCAGTAGACCTGAAACTTACATGAAAATCAAGAAACTTCGTATGAGGAAGTTAACAAATAGCAAGATGACTGTTAGTGATAGACAGATTTCCTTTCCCAGGTTACTTAAGTAAGATCACACATAATTTTTACAACATGAAAAGTTCACACTCAGTAACATCACTTGAAAAGTTAGGCCTATGGCCACAGGGATATGTAAAGATTTTTACACTCCTAAAAGTGGCCATAATTTCTAGGAAAACAACATCTGTAAGCCCTTTGCAAATAATACTAAATAGGGATATTTGGCCACTGATGAACACAGAACATGTCACAAAGGACTCTAAAGCTGTGTAAACACACCATAAACACCAATGCTGGGAAAGCAGCAAAAGAGGATTCTGAAAGAATCTGAGGTTTAGTCAAAATCCAGAGCTGGACAACAGCAACTGAAACAGAAATTAGGAAAGGGAACTGAATTAGTCATCACTGATGTTTAGCCTCTTAGCTATCCATGACTACTAGTTTCTCAGCTCCCCAAACCATCCCACTCTCCACCAGCACAGCTGGGACCCCATGCTCATGCAGACTTGACTTTCAGTTACTTAACTACCATTTTCAACTTCATTGCAACCAGTCTTCAGCTGGTCTCTCACATAGGCATTGGCCATGCCAGCCTGTGCTCTTGATCATTAGATCTGATGGGATCATATCAGCACAGCTGGTAACCGAACAAATCAGGTCACACTGTGTAAATGAACATACCGTGGTTCCAGCTCCTGCTCTGTTGGAGACTGGCACCATCTCCAGTTTGGCATTGTTGGGCAGCCTAGCGAATCTCCACTGCAAAGATAGGTCCAAAACATTCCTCTGAAACCTGAAGGAGAACAGAGCCTATGAGCAATACAAAGTCCAGGTATTGTGCAAGAAAATTCCCAGGAGGCTGACTAGAAGCCATAGAACGAACATGATTCAGTAATGAACGATTGGTGATTATAAAAGCATCATCAACAAAAGCTATTCTTCATACCAAAACACCTGCAGTTTGTAGAGGTTGCAGAGAAGATACCCAAAATTATGTTCTTCCTTTAAAGGTTTTTAAGAGATGAACAGCAACCAAATACATAACCAAACCTTGTTAAATACCAGTGTACTCTATTATTCTTTTATTATTTTTTTTTTTTTTTAGTGCTACTCAGACAAATGAGCTCTCAGTTACGACACCATAAAAGCACAGGGTCAACGCCCCAGCGGGCAACTGTTCTGTAGCCTGGATGAGGAGCACGCGTGGGTGTCCCGTGACAGCGACATGGGGCCTCGCCGTCTGTCCCGGCAGCGGAAGGAACCTGGCACAGGGACGTGCCGAACCTGAACCTGGACCTGGGTACCTTGGCCC